GAAATTCCCATTCACATGATTCTTGTAAAAGAGGTACTGATTTGTGAAGAGACGTGGAACTTAGTCCTTGTCACAGTGATCAGTGCAGGCTAGCAAAAAGCACTTCCCAAATACTGGTTCCCTAAATATATCCCAGGCTGTGGGTCCCTTAAGACTTACCTACATTCCACTTTATTATTATTTGCTGCTACTACAGCAGCTGATGAACATAAGCATGTCAGCATCGTTCAGACAGCAGAAATTGTCTTGTCCAAAGTTGACGGTATATCCTTATATTAAATATTACATAAAACATTAGTCATATAGAAACAATATCATGCTCAGGATCTCTGATGTGTTACAGATTTTCTGCTGAGGGCACATAATATTAATAGAGATGACAGAAATGATCATAAACTGCTTTGCCTGGGCATAGCTGAGTCGGCAGGGTTTCCCCTCTATCCCCCATCTGCTAATGAGCCTTCTGGGTCACAGTCCCAAAGGACTGCTCCAACAGCCAGTGGCTGAAGTACATAAGTATTCTTGTCAAGTCTTTTTTTTCCATGGCCATCTGCTGGGACTGTTGAGAAGGATGTCATAGCACTGGTTAGGACAAATTTAAGGTTTCTTTATGCTGCCAGGTCATCTTAACACTGCATAGGATCTGGTTCTAGAAGTTTTTCCTGTATTACGCCTGAAGAACAGAGGTCTATAATAAGAAATTGTTTAATCTGTACTTGCACGGAGCTGTTTTTTAAGTGACCAGTAAGATTTTACTGTTCTATCAGAATGTGATGTCCTTGCTGGAATTGGCCGTGTGAGAAATAAAAAAAAAGGTTATTCTTATCTTCTGAGACAAGAGGAATAAAATGAGTATGAAATGAAATGTTATCAGAGATTTTGCATGCGACATTTTGTATCTGACATCAGAAACATCTTTAAAGTGAAATTGTGATGATCAGAGACTTATGTCAAGGATGAAGGAATATTTTGCTACTGTAATTCATTTTCTGTTTTCCTGGGCAGACTGATGACTTAACATACCACAGACTTATTTCTGTTGCTTTGTGTTGGTATTAATTCCCAGCTGGTGACATATCGGGAATATATCATTCCGTTCATTGTTTTGGATGCTCTTACGAAAATCCTTTTTTCTGATTAATTTCCTACTCTACTGGATTTTTTTTGTTACTTTACTTCTTCCAAACCTGATATTTGAACTAAATTCCCACCGATTTTGTTTGACCTGTTATGGTAATGTTGGTTTACAGTCTTACTGTAACTGATAGTGTTGTACGGTTCCTTGAGGATTTTTAGATTTTCTGCAATACCTCAATTTTTTTAAAGAAAAATACTTTTCATCCATTGTTACCACAATATATATTGTTTTCTATAGATGTAGGTGCATCTGAAAAATTTGTATTTCTTTGATTTATAGTTTCAGGATAGTGTACCTCATGTTACATTTCAGAAAACAAATTAGAAAATTCTTCCTTGGATACCAGCTGTAATCTGACAGATTTAAATAGATGCTATTGTTGATCTCTAGGAAAGGATGCATCCTACTAGAATAAATATATAATCTAGGTGCTGTTCCACAGAATCATCATATGAATCACATACAGTATCTTATGACACTTTGTAAGCATTAGAAATAACAATAAGAAATTCTGCTCCGAAACATTTTATGTATGTTCTGCTTCACTGGTAGTACAATGCTAACAGGCTTGTAACCTGCTATACAAGAACCTCACGTACAGGAATTCTGATCAAGCAATTTTCTATCCATCTCAGAATGGTGTATTTTAAAACAACAAATAAATATAGTAGCTTTAAGTTTCACACAAACAAACTACAACATAGGATGTATTAGAAAGAACTGGCAATACATGAGCCCTTTTGAAATCACTATGCTATTGGATTATTTGAAAATATATAATGTAATTTTATATCAGTGCCCCGGGATGCTAGAATATCTGGCCTTTATTTATTTGGTTCTGTGGCTTTTAGGAAGCTTTATGATGGAAGAATCCAGTCCTTGAATCCTAATTGATGAAGACCCTCAGTAATTCCATGGAGACCCCCTTTTAAGCATGCCCAAGGTACCCAAAAATAGTCCATGGCTAATCTTTAAAAAGCAAGAATAATTAGGTGAAGAAAAATATCACTTAGGAAAGCTTGATACGATTGGTCTCCTCCAGACCACTAACTCACTGAAACACTATCATTCTGCAACATTATACAACACAAACATGCAAATGTTCTGCAGAAGCACTGACGGGCAAGAGGAAGTGATTGGCGACATTTTCTTTATCATAATGACCTTCTATAAGAATTACCTGATCTATGACTTAACTGTTCATAAGACTTAAATTGTATGTTAGCTGACTTACAGCTAAATTTGTTTATATCTTTTCTTTATATCTTTATTTCTTTTCTTTATCTATGCATAAAACTTCAGAACACTTTAAATATAAGTAATTTTTTTTAAATTTGCATTGTTCTATCTTTATGGAAAGATGAGACAAAGAAAGATTTGCTACAGATAAATTGCTTAATGGATCAGCCTTTAATTTAGTTAAAATAAATCTAATACATTGATTTATTTGTACTATCTGAGTAAACATTTTTCTGGTTTGAAAGAGCAAGTGCTATGAGGTTGGAGATGGTGTGCTCTAGCTAAGATGCACAATAAAAGACCAGATCTTATTTTATATATAAAATGTAGACGCAGACTAAATGATGGAATTGTGTGCAGCATCTTAATAGTAGGCTTATTTCCATGAGGTTCATGAGAAACTTTATATAACTTTAGTAAAGTATAGTAAGATTTATTTTACTGCAATGTAGAGTAGGGATTGCAGGACATTGGTAACAGGGTCCTAAAAACTTCCACCATTCCCATTCAATTCCAGATAACTTTTAGTGGCTAAAATTTTTAATGAATTATTTTGGTGATATTCTTATGTCCTATACAGAGGTCCACGTAGCAGAAGATGCTTTTTCTGACTGATGGAGAGGCTTGGAACTGAATGAGTGTAAGTACCATTTTTTCCTCAGGAAAGATAGCCTAGATGTTAGTCACGTATGCTTATCAACTAGCTGGCATAATACTACATTCATATTTATGATACGTTATTTTAGTGGCTTAAGATAGAATTTTCACTGTCTTCCAGTAGACTTTGAAATCACAAAATATATATGAAAATTTTTAGAAAAGATAAAATTTTAGAAAAAGATAGATTTTTAGAAAGAGACATATATTAACATATGAATATTTAATAACATCCAGTAAGAAACTGGAGGAAACATTCTCAATATGAAATACAGATAAAATTCTGTGGTGGTATGCAAGTAAAGATGCACACCAGAGAAGGTGACAGCACAGAGGTGGAGCTGGGAGGAAGGAATGAAAGAACATGAATGCTACATTTGTATGCCATTGATTTGTAAACATTTATTGAATGACCACTCAAACTAACTGGCAGACAAGAGAATAAAATTACATGCTGTACATACTCTGAGCTTCCCCACTCTGTTTCACTTGACCTATGTTTAAGATCTTCTGGGATGAGAGGACTGTCCAGTCTTCATGTATGGTTGGTGCTTGCTCCCTCTGCTGAGGCCGGCTAAGCTGCTTTGTGTATTTAGCTGAGTAATGTAGACTCTGAAAGACAAACTTAGGCTACTTCCTTTCGTAATAGTTCATTACCGGTTCTAAACAGGGCTAAGATACCAAAGAGTTCACCAAGGCCTCATAAACTTAGGGTACATTTGAATATTTGAAATTGAAAGTTTACTTGTCATAAGAGTTTGGCTTTTGATTAAAATGTAACAAAACAGGAATTAATAACTAGATTCATACTTGGTCAGATGTCTGCTTCTGACACTCAGCTGGAATGTGATGAATTGCCCAATTTAGAAGGAAGACAGAGTTTGAACAAAATGTGACCTCTTAATATTTGTACAACCATAAAAGATGGTGTGAAGGAAAGCAGTGAATGCTGCATCACTGTGCTTGAGATGAGGAATTTAATTTCCAATATTCCATTCCTTTGTCTTGAAAGCTGTTTTCCTACATTCTAATCTCATCATCAGGGCTTTTTCATTTGGTTGACAGGCTTGGTCATCGTTTTTTGAAAGGCAGATAATTTCTACCAGCAGGAGAGCAAGATCTAGGTGAAAAAGAGATCAGAGATATTGACAGAATATTTTTTAGACATCCTATTCTTTGCTTCCCGGATACCAGGTTATACAGAACAATTACAGTAAGTGCAGCAGGTCTTATTAGTGAAATTTGTGGCCCAAACACCGCAGAAATTGGCATTATAGTAGGGACTAGTGTTTCTACTGAGGTCTCTCAAACCTCCTTTTCCCCTTTGCCCAAGATGAAAAGACTTTGTCAACAACAATCAGATTTGAATAGCTGCCACAGAACTGTGTTAAAAGGATTATGCCTTTTGTTATGCTTAACTGACCGCAAGGGTAATCTGAAGTACTGAGGCATGCTGAAGCTCATCCACTGCGTGTAAAAACTTCTTGAAGCTCCTTGGCAAACATCTACCAAAAATCTGAAATTTTTGTCTATCTCTCTAAAGCATTACAGTTATCTAAAGGAGAGGACTTTTAAAAATTCTTTGGAAGTCTAAAACCCATTGTCAAGGCAATAAAGATAATTTATGAGAACTCCCAACTCTATTATGGTAAATGGTGCCTTGAAAAGTCAATGGTATGCATGATGGCTTCTTAGACCCATCTGTTTGTTCCACTCAGACTCTTTTCTCAAGCTTTACAAATACTGCTGATCTTATGTTTACGGATGATGTCATTCTGTCTGATTCTAACCTCACTTCTGGAAAGATGTCCAGTGATTCAGTGAAAGTTAATATACTGTCCTAAATTAGGAATATTGTTCTACTAGATATCTTTCAAAAACTGAATGTTTCTTTGGTAAAGTGAAACAGACTTCCTTACATTCACCCTTATCTTACAGCATGTGTTATAGTTTTAACATATATAATTTTGTCCTTGCAAGGTTATTGTCGCATTTTGTGTTCATGTAAGTCCTGTCAACGTGGGAAAAGCATACAGATGGAAAGGCATTAAACTTGGCAACCACCAGGTGCCAACTGCAGTAGTGTTAATTCGTTATGACTAATAACTTGATATTTATGACCTCTAAATAGTTTTCATGCTGATGAATTAAATTCCTTTCCCCTATAACTATATTTTAAATATTTCTAAATTTTAACCTTTACATCTATCCCTAAATAGAAAGAAAGCCTGAAAGGCTCAAATACATCAATTACAATATATCTTACCACTGATAAGCTTTACCTATTTAATACTTTATCCACTTAATTATCTACTTCATATGCTATACCTTTACCAATAGCAACTTCATTGTTATATGAAGTTGTGCTCAAAATTGTAACACTGCTATAAGATTACTTGTATCTAAAACACCAACAATTTAACATCCTTTGACTATGCTTTTTGTTTCACAAGTATAAGAAGTTAATATTAAGATTATTAAGTACTGTATGTGGAAAATTGAGCCTCAGGTTTATTTTTTTTGTGTGTAAAAAAACAGTATTCTGCAAAACTGAGGATAAATAAAAAAGCTGTAGAAAAAAAATCATTAAAAATACTTCCCTGTATCTCTTTATTTTGCTGAATTCTTGAGGATAGCTCTTCCTGCTTCTAGAGAATTTTTTGAGAGTAAGAAAAAGAAAGAGAAGAAAGAGTAAGAAAAAGAAAAAGAACAGGTTGCCCAGAGAGGTAGTGGAATCTCCTTCGCTGGAGATATTCAAAACCTGTCTGGATGTGATCCTGGGCAATATGCTCTAGGTGACCCTGCTTGAGCAGGGAGGTTGGACTACATGATCTCCAGAGGTCCCTTCCAACCTAAACGATTCTGTGATTCTGTGAAAATGGAAATGTATTTCTAATGAAACATAGTCCCATATATCTAAGAAGTATTGTCAGTCCATTTCTTATTAAAAGCTTTCTGTGAAGCAAGAGGATATTGTCTAGAGGACCACTAAAAACCTGGAGAATTTGATGACTGACTTACTAAGGGATGAGGCAGCAACCCAGATTTAAGAAAATCAGAGCAATGTAAACAGAATTAGAAAGGTAACATTCTGAAGGCAAAACCAAACTGTCAATGTGAATTTTTTATCTATAGTTTTATACTCGTAAACATTGTAAACAGTTCAATTAAGAGATTTTTAATGGAATAAGACGCTGATTTAGTTTGGCATAGTTCAATCTGAGGTAGGATTTATATTCTTCACATAATTCATCCAATAGATTTTAAATTTCATTCATATAACGTGGATTACTTTGACACGTTTAACTTTTCCTGCGATTCTCTTAACAGCAATTGATTTTATAGATCACAATCACAAAATTTCTCAATTGTCTCTAGAAGAACCCCACCGCATTCCAGAAAAGGTATCAAATTGATTTAAGAGAGGTGAGAAAAGGAGTGCAGCAAGTCTATTGAATCAAGGGATCAGTTGTAACGTTGGAGGAAACTGTAGCTGCTGTCATTGTATCTCAGTGCAAAGAGTTAAGGTAGACAGAACTCTTTTAAGCTTTTTCCATACGATCGTAAAAAGTACATTGAGAAAAAATGGGATGAATTTAAAGCCAAGTACTCAAATATTGGAACTGCCAGAATTTGGATTACCCACATACCCTTCTTTTCCCACCATCTTCTAGTATGCATTATGATCCTGGTTTTAATCAACTGATCACATCACTGTTCCCCCCCCCCGCAGGACTCTTGTCTCCTGCTGTGCAATATTTATACATAATGCTCACTGAATGAGCAACTATTCATCATTTTGTTTCTTTGTTGTTATTCAGTGTATGGTCCCATGCCACATTTTTAAGTTCTGTTCTGAAGACAGAATTTTTAATTTCCTCACGGGCTTTTCTATGGTGCTCATCACTATAGTGTCTGAGTGCTTTACGAATCTTAATGAATTCATCTTTGCAGCACTTCTGTGTTTTGAAGAGGAATTATTATTCTAATTTGACAGAGAGAGAACTGAGAATAAATTAGAAAATATCAACTATTTTTGACAGTCAATTTGAGGTGCTTAGGAGCTGATTTTTCAGATTGGTTTGTATTATATAATATAGTACACATTTAGTGCTCAATTCCTGATGAGTATGTTGCAGATGCAAGTACTTAAGATTTTCAAATCACAAGGGCCTGGAGGTGCAAGAATGAGGAACACAGAAAAATTCTGTTTTAAGTGATTCATTGAGACTCACACAGGCGATCTGTAGCAGAGAGAGGGATATAATCTACTTATTCAGGGCACTGCTCAATTCCTCTGAATGTTTAAACCATCCTTTCTTTTCATATAATTTCTACCTCATCCACTGCTGCACATCTTCCAACTTCTGGTAAAAATTATTTTGTAGGGATTATATAGCCTCTTACTCTGTATGATTCTCATTTGTCCTCAGAGCAAGACTGTCCAGAGGGCACTGAATGAGAAAAGTGTAAAGAAATTTCATGTATAAAAAAATTTCCAAATTACAGTGCAAAGACACACTGGGGAATGTACTGAGTTTGTACAGAATACCTCAGTGATGCTTTAGACTGTATTTTTGCATGTGATCTCCTGTCTTTAAAAAAGCAAACCAAAGCGATGAATTGTGTGTCACCACACAGATAGTCTTTGGTTCATGCAGATCCTTTACACAGCTCAGATCAGTCACTTGAGCTGAGGGAGTAGGCTCTTTATATTGACCGACAACGAAGAGGATTTGAAAGGGATTTGCTGATAGCTCAGAAATTATGAGATTTGGGAATTTTAAGTTTTAATCTAATATCTGAAGGAGATTGTGCTACTGTGAGCTTCTACCCTTTTGGCACGTTTTACTTTCTCTGGTGCTTTCCCTCCAGTCTACGCCAGATCCAGTTTTGTTGCTTCATTCCCTTTCTGAGTCCTTAATGTAGTCTTCACTTTCTCTAGGCGCCCCTTTTACTTTTTATCACAGTTCTAGCCATTTTGTTCAATATGTGCTCCCCTTTAAGCTTCCTAATCAAGTCTCAGGCTTCACAGGAAAACTTCATTATAAAGAATGGCTTGCAAAATATCCTTCAGTGCAATATTATAATGGTATTGCTTTTTGAATGATTTCTATATGTTCACAAGCCCAATTGTTATATTCCTGGTTAACCAATTCTAATTCAAAATACTATTATTTCTATGCTATCTTAGCTTATTCCTTCTATTGATAAACTACAAAAAAGAAACATGCATAAAATACTGGAAAAATTGTATTTGTCTGTGCCATGAATTCCGTGTGTGGTCTGGGCAAAACACATAGGTTCTCTGTGACTTTCTACTCCATGGACAAAATAGGGATAGCAGTATTTCCATTCTTTTACCTACCATTTTCCTTGCCCATGTCTAACATGTACTTGCTTAACTTTATTACTGTGCTTAATTCCACTGATTTTCACAGGGCCGGACACTGAAGCTGTATGGCTTTTTTGCCCCTTTGCAGTGCTTGTGTAATGGGATGCTGATCTCAGCTGGAGCTTTTAAATGTTATTATAATTCCAGTAAATAACAGCAGAATGGCAATAATAATTATATAGCACACTAAACATATATGGTGCTATGCAAAAGAACAGCCATAGCAAAATTACCTTTCGAACTTCCTGCATAGGACAATATGCAGCGATTGAGCTCAAAACCTATTTGATATACAGGTCATGATGTAAGTGTATTTTAAGAATTTATTGTGTTTATTTTAGAAGGAGAATATTGTATTTATTTTAGAAGAACGAATCTGATATTGATTCTGACTATGTCACAGTACTATAGGAGCAGCAGAACTCATAGACAAATGTGACTCTTAAAGAACATGAAAATAAAAAGTTTGTTCAAAGGAAGCAAGCAGTTTAGGAGTAATGTGGAGGAAATATACTCCTCTGAGTATATTTCAGATACAGAAGAAAACTACTCCTCTGAAACTATGTAAAGAAGACTTTTAGTTTTGAAAAAAAGAAGAAAATTAGTGAAAGTAATTTAAGAGTTAGGATGGATATTTTTGCCATGGTTGCCACCATATCTTGCAGATGTTCATTATGGGTATTTATTATTGCTGATATTTTAAAGAGAACTCATTGAGAAATCCAGCTGTCTCCATTGTAGTGCTAGTGTGTTTCAGTATCAAAAAGCGAATGGTTTTGGTTGGCGGTGAGCATATCAGCAACAGCAGCAGCATGGTGAAACACTGTAAATCATTTAGCATAGGTAGGCCTGGCAGGGAAGTAAAGAATATAGTGAAAAGTAGCACACAGGAATGTTTCTTTTCCACTGCTTATTCAGTGGTCTGTTGTTGGTTTTATTTTGGCTGGAGGATGGAAGCTGATTACACTAACCTATACATAGTAAGAAATAAGATGTGGAAGATGCTTCTGAGAAACCGCTCAGGCTACAGCAATTTTATCTTATCATCACTGGCTGCACAGATGTAGTTTGTCTTCCAACATAAGCTGTTAAACTCAATAATCCTATTACAGTAATGAAGTAGAGTGCAAGAATCCGCCAAAGCAGAAAAGAGCCAAAACTAAATTAAATACATTTTGAGACATCAAAATATCCTTTAAAAATCTGCTTTATACAGAGACTGGGATTTCTGCATATATTTTTGTTATTGAATAAGTGAATAATCATTAAATGATTTTTAGTTATTCTACCCTGAAGGATAATTTATGAGATTCTACAACATAGTCCTGCTCAATATAAGTATCAGGCAATTGCAGTTAGGGAGTGTGAGAAACATTTTCAGGAAGAGAGCATGTGCTCATCTTGTATGTGCACAGGCAGATCACACTGCACAGGCACTGTGATCAAGCATCTCATTAAGAGCTTGCTTGAGACTGTGGCGTGGTTGAGAGCAAATTGATTAAAGTTCAGGCTGGATATTAGTATTAAGATGATGAGACCAGGGGAAGCAACCAGAGGATATGGAAGAGATTGCATCAGCCCTTTGATTGAAGATGTGCATCCATCAGTTGTGACTTCAGTTGACTTCCTAATTAGAGCTCATCTTACTAGATTTCCTACTGCTTTTCAATCATCATGTAGCTGTAAGGATCTGGGTGGCAATTTATCTATTTTTAAACTTGGAGCAGGTCAAAATACTCCAATGAATGCTACCACCTGGAACTGTAAACTGATGCAGAATTAAGCTGCCTATTTGTAGAGCACAGAATCTTACTGTGAACACTTACTAGAAGTTTTTGGGCTTGTTTTCTGCTAGATCTGGGTAGGGTATGCTGTGCTCGTTTGAGCTGAGGGTATGGATCTCTAAAGGTAAAATAGCAGTGGATCTGACATCTTGAGAGGTTACATAATGGTTAATTGTAATTGATATTCAACTTGTTTCTCTAGCTTGTGAAACCAGAATTAAGGAGAATGGGAGGTACTCCAAGCACAGGACCTGTGGACAAATCACCTACAGATTCTATAAAATGGAAATAATGTTACTTGTTGTGGTACTCTTAAACAACTTCAAAATCTTCAAATGGAAGGTACTGTGAATTTGCTAGGTTTGATTTTATTATAAACAGAGGTATTGTCAGAATGATATTTTCTATGGAGCTACTTGATTATATAACTCAGTGAGAACTTTCCAGTTTCTCCCTCATCTGCACTAGGACTATTTTGGGTGGGGAGTGGGGAACAACAGACTCTTTAGGTCTTCTGTTTGACCGGGTACATATTGTGGCACTCTTGAGAGCATATTGATGAGAGGTTAGGATGGATATCGGTTCTATGATGGTGAGAATAGGGTAGGGGAGGCAATCTGAGAATATATTGCGATATGTTTAACAAAAGTTGTAGGCATTTAATAATCATCTACTTTTAGTTCCGGAGCTATAATGTTCCCAAACCCTTCCCTGTCTAAGCACTAGTAATATGTGTGGCTGTACAGTGAACAGTAATAAGGGACAAATCTGGCTGAAAATGCATCTTTTTTTCTGGGTGAGTTTTCAGTTACATCAGTTCCTTGTTCTTGCTCCTCACATAGCTGTAGCAATGCTGGCACCTGTATGAAGAAAAGGTTGGAGACAAATGATGACATGGACTTGTGATTCTAAAAGAACAGTAGAATTGTAATCTTAGTGACTTTCACTAGTAATCTATACTTTTCCACTTTAAAATGTCTGAGCCAGAAGGAAACATTTTAATGCTTTTGTTAGATTTTTTTAATTTATTTTTCATAGGTGAATGACAAGTTTTTAAACTAGTCAAAACAAGAACACAGAGGTAAAATGTCCTTGAAAATATTAGAAACATGAAACTCCCTCTTAAAAAATAAAGAATAGTTCATTTCAAACTCATTACCCTAGAAAGGAAGAAGGAAATCTCACTGTATCGGTAGTAGAGAAAATGCTGATCCCTGAGTTTATAAACTTTGCCTCCCATCCCCTGCAAGCAAGTATCTCAGTCTTTAAGTGATTGGCCTGTAAAGAGTAAATTACATTGAAATTTCTGATTACCTTTTATAGCTTATATTCATTTTTTACTCCACTGTTACTGTGCTCCTAAAGTCTTTCCTTACACTGACTAGACGCATTTTTCTCATGTATTTCTTGTAGCAGAGACTAGTGCATGTTATTAGCTATTTTAAGTTACTTTGCGGTTCTAAAAATAAATATAAAAGGCACTCAGATTAAGTCAGCAGCCCCATCTTTAAACTCTTTAATGTTTTCCTGTGACTGATAGCTGGACTTACACTAGGTGTGTGGGATTGCCTTGTTTAATTAGATAATATGAAAGTATTCAGCTGGGTGTGAGCAGAGATTGCTGTGATATGTGATAAAGCTTAAGGAGGGAGTGCTTCAGGGAGAAATCAGAGAGGGGATGCCAGGACAGTTCAATACAGAAAAAGGTTTGCAGGTCAATATATTCTTTAATGCTATTTACTGTACAGTTCACTGAAGATGATTCTGGAATGGCTGATGGTTTAACATTGACTGGTTAAAACTGGCTACATTTCTCATTTACTGCAAATGGTGACATTCGTAACGCAAGATGGCCAGTCTGGCAGTTTTCCATCCTTCAAAAAAAATCTTCTGAATGAAGAAGAAATACTTGGCTCTATTATATAATTTCACATTGACTTTTTTCTTTAAAAATTCTGTGTTCTGGCCATCTGGCTCCTTCTCACTTCCTTTGGCTCTGGTATTGAAGCCAAGCAAGATAGACTGTTGAAAAGACCAATATTATTTAGCACATCATTGACTCTCCAAGACATTCATACTCAAGTTTCTCACTCTTCTGATAGTCTTTATTGCAAACAAAAGAGGATGGAAGATACTGCCTGTGAATTTATTTAGTATTTATTTGCTGAGAGTGGAATATTCAAACTTTCACAATGTGGGAGCCTGAATCTCTTTTCAAAAAATGATCCAACACTTAAACCAGGTCACCAAAGCCATGTATAGCCCAGATCCAGAAGAAGAGATAAGCTCCTAACACCTGGTTAGGGCCTCAACTTCATATAAATTTCCTTCATTAGATATTAGGAGCCTAAATATTCTGTCGCTTCTGTGCCTAAGTATCTAATGATAAAAATAGGCACCAACTCCTACTTTTAAAAATATTTATATAGAGTATGTACTTAAGTCTATAATCTTCCATCTATTAACAAAATCTGTTGGGATGATTCATGCGACTTGAAGATGAAAATTGTTGTCATAATCTATTTGGAAGATGTTGACTGTTCAGAAAGAAATAAAAAGTGGTATTCTATGTCAAAATTGACATTACATGCTTTGAGTCACTTACGACTGGGAAACAAATTGTCTTGAATGCATATGGTCTACTTTCTAGGCAAAGAACGTACCAGTGTCTTTTATACATCATATAAAAGCCGTATATCACTAAACATCATTCAAGAACTGGGTGAGTAGCTCATTGCACGACAATATATAATATGTATGGTGAGAAAACATAAGTTGTCATGGGGAATGTCAGTCTGCATGATATATGGCACAGGCCTTTTCTACCAGTACTACAAAACGATTGAGAACTTAAATAATCGTAAAGAATAATGTCTTGAGCTTCATCCAAAAATGGGGTAGAGGTCCTATGTTAGAAATAATTTTGGTATGTGATATGTTTATTTGTGGTAAACTATAAGTTTAGAACGGAAAGTTAATATTTGCTTCCCTAGAGGTTTGTGGGGACCCATGGTGAGACTAAGCAGCCCCAGGGTGGCCGGGACAAGAAACTCCACCCAGGCCAGGTCTGTTGGCAGTGCCATGCTTCCCTTGGCAGCCCCTTTGCAGACCGCACTGCAACAGCACCTCTCAGCTTTCTCTTTCAGTGGACTACCACCCCTCCTGAGCCCCTGGTGGACTCAACTCCCCACTGCTGTCTCCTCTAACACCTTCCTCTTTTACGCGTATTTTTTATCTGAAGAATTACATGTTGTGAGGGGCCTTATTGTATATTAGTTCTTACCTTGTCTCCTGCTGATATTGTATATTTAGAAAGTTACAAACTTCTCAGAGAACATTTTTTTCTCTAAGTGTTAGAGATTGAACATTTCATATGGAATTCATTCCTTTGGTCTTCCCACACACAATATCCCCATCTCCAGCAAGGATGTACTTGTAACCCACAACAGCTTCAAGAGAAAGATAAAATCCATCATACAAGAGAGTTTTGGTGTTCATCTGTCACTTTGGTCAGTGTGTATGGTGTTGCTAATGAGACCTCACAGAACATGAAAATTGTCTAAAGTGAAAATCAGTCATATATACAATGGTCTCTTTTGACTTCATTACTTTCGGCACCCTTCTGCCTAGTAGCTTCCAATTCTAACCAGTCCTTCCTGTCTGCTCAATAATCTGATGCCTTATGGATTTGGAAAGGCTTTGAGATTGCAGTATTTGTAAATAATAGTTAATTTGGCCCATTTTAAGTTCAAAATGCCATTATTCTGACAGTGAGATGATCCAGCTTTTATGTTCAGAGCAGGATCCTCCAGTATGGCCATGGAACATATATGTCCTCTTTTGTAATTATATGGTCTCTATTGACAAACATTTGCAAAGCTGTGCAGCGCTTACACTGAGGTAGTGTATGGTACTGACAACATTGTTATTTTATTAGAAACAGGGATGGGCAGGTTATTTTCATAACAGTATGACCTCTTAGTCACATGTACCCTAAGCGTTAAGTGCAGTACTCAAATTTTTCTTTTCTTCTTCCATTTTTCATTATTCCTTAAGAGCTTTTCTGAAGCCTGGTATTTATGCATTTCTAGGATGGCTTATTATCACACACAATGTAAGAGCCTTTGAAGTTCCAATATGTAATTAACTCATCTCAGTTAAGTCATGCCATCCTCTCTGCCAAACCACGATGTCAGGCAAGTGTATCTTGAGTAGGATAGGCTTAACCACTCTCTCTGCATTATTTATCCTCCTTTCTGGCACACTTTTTCACCATCATCTAAGCTATGAGTTGCACTTAGTTTTCACTGTGCTGTTTGGTCAAATTAGCAGCCAAAGCCCTCTTATCTTCATCCTTCATCAGCACCAGTTCTTCAATCTCAGTTAGGACAGTCAAACAATCCTCCCTTGCACTCTACAAGCCGTATAAAGTTTCTACTAGGTACAGCTCACTCTTCCTGGTTCTTTCGTATCACTGTCCTATGGTGAATCAGCCTGCAACTGAAAGGAAGTCTAAAGATTCCGACTACTTCCATAGAACAATATAGTAAAATACAGATCTAAAACAACTGTTCTCTTGGAAAGTATACCTTTTCTTTTTCTCTCTGCGACTGAGAAAGAAACACTTTGGAATACCCAATGGAGTTTACTTTTTTTGCCTTAATGAGTTTGGCAAAATAAAGCTAACAGTGTTCTTCAAGGGCTTTTGAATACATTATTATATCTTTATACTATTCACTAGCATCTGCTTTTGACTATTATTGCAGACAGGGTATTGAGTTAGAGGACCTTTGGTCTGACTGAGCAGACCTTTGGTGTGCCTCTTATATTTATACAGAAAATATGAAGATAAATTAATCAGGAAACAATACATGACAGAGCAAAACCCCAAATAAACTGACATAAGCCTTCCTTTTATTACTTTTTCTTTGAAAATTTGGAGCAAGTGAAGCTAGGATAAGAATAAACTCAGGTGCAAATGACCTCAGGAAAATGTCTGCACTTTTTGTCTCCACAAGATATTCTAGGAAGTTGCCAGCACTACAGAAACCTAAGTGCAAGTTAAAATCTTTGTTTATTAATCAATGAAAGATTAATAATGCCTGTCTCTCTGTATACTATGTGTTTCCATGCTGCTTATTCCCATCCACTGGCTTCTCTCCAGCCTCTGTGATGCCATCTGCTGTATAAACACAACTACCCAGAGAGGAGGGCAGCATGTAAGGATAATGATCTGAATTCTGAAATTCCTGTTTTGCCAAGTGATTTTTCAGTCAGACTAGTTCTCTGATTTTCTCCATAGGGTGTCCTCTGGAATGAATAACTAAAGTCAAATGTGGACTCTTGCCACTGCTAAGTGCAGAACTTGACTTTCTGAAAAGAGACATTACTGCCAAATTCTTGTAGGCAAGAATTCTTGTAGGAATTGCAAGCATATCAAGGGCTCAGGTGGTCAAACTGAATTTGTAGGCTTTATTGACTTTTTTTCTTCCTCATTTCAAATATCATTCAGGACAAGAAAAAGAATAATTTATCAGGGCACCAGAACTCTTTTCTCAGAATACTTTTAATTTAGATGCTTTGCTCATAGTTCTGCTGTGGCACGATATATGAGCACAGCAAACAGAGGCAGCGAACAGACGGAGCAGTTTGCGCAGCAGTTCACACAGAAGGGCACCAGAAGGCAAAGAAGGCACCTCCTTTTTCCACAGTGGTGTGTCCTTCCCCAGGCATGGTCATGACACACTGCAGAGCACATTCTCCAGTGGCTGCTGGAGGTGCTGCATCAGCTGTGTCTGAGGCTTCAACCCAGACGGACCCTCTGACAGCAGATACAGCTCTACAGGTGTCAGACTGCAGGGAGTGCCTGGGGCCTCTCCGTGAGGCCTGGGCTGACAGTCAGCTCTCCTGCACGAGGTGTGCTGCGGTTGACCAGTTGTATCGCCGGATACCCCCCACTGCAGCGGAGTTGTTGGAGGGCTCTGTACTGTGTGTAACGGTACATCGTAACGATGAAGAAGGCTGGAAGCTGGTGACCTCTCGTAGAAGGAGAAAGACTCTTACTCCTCCTCAAGACTTAGCCTTGAAGAACAAGTTTAGTGCCCTCCAAGCTGAGGAGGAGCTGGGCATGGCTCCAAGGGAGGCAACTGGCCTGGCAGACCCTGTGCCATGCAGGAACCCCCGGAAGAAGCAGCAAGTGATTGTTGTGGGTGACTCCCTGCTGCAGGTGACAGAGGCACCTATCTGCTGACCTGACCTCTTGCTAGAGGCTGCCAGGGGCTCGAATAAGAGATGTCATGGAAAGACTGCCAAGGCTTGTCCATGCATCAGACTACTACCCTCTGCTGCTTTGCCATGTGGGTGCTAATGACATGAAAGGCAAATTGGAAACTATCAAATGGGACTTCAGAGCTCTGGGGATGGTGGTCAAGGGTCTGGGAGGCCAGGTCATTTTCTCCTCAACCTTGCCTGTGAGGGGAAAGGATGGGAGGAGGAGTAGACGAGTTTTCCAAGTTAACAAC